TTAATCTATAGCTGAAGACAATGAAAATAAATGCAATTTATTTACTTAGAATTTCTATAAGATAAAGTGGGTTTTATATAGAAAAGCTCGATAGAAAGCATAGCAAAATACATATGTATATGTATAAATATATAGAGTTATGTATTGACCTATGTATACGATCTCCAAATTGCTGGAAATGTCAAGTCTCTCGCTCTAATAGCTGCGAAATGATCACAGAGGGAAATAAAAAACAAAAAACATTTTACTATACCTTGCAAAGCAATATAAAAAGATTTTGAAGATATATACATAGGTAAACTGTGAGCCTTTGCTTATCTGAACTTCAGCTGATTAGCTTCTATCGATATTCAGAAGATATTTCCTAGAGTATGCACTAGCCCTACATACCCCATACTTCAGTTTCAAGCGCATTCACACTACTCGCTTCGCTCGCTATAAATTTCAATAATATTTTGTCAGCCAATGCGAAAAATCCTTCAGTTGTTGTATTTTGTTGGCCCTTTTTTGGGACAAGTGAAATCCTTTGCCGACTGCAACTGTTTTCTGCACAAAACTAATAAATTTCATAAGCTCAACAGCAGCAGCAGCAACAACAACAACAACAACAAGAATAAACTGTCAGCTACAACAACAACTTGGCGAAAGCAACAGACGCGCGACAACAATTTGCATATTACGTATACGCAGCGTGGGCCATAGCCAGTTGCCAGTTGAGCTGAGAGACAGAGGGAGAGAGAGGGAGAGACAGAGGGAGAGAGGAGAGGTGCGCTGGCCCGAGGCTTGCCCAATTAAGCACAATTTGCATGCGAAAAGCAAGGAGCGCGCGCGCGACATCTAAATGTTCCCCATTTTGGACCAAAATAAAACAACAACAAAACGAAAAAACTTTAAATCGTTTCGACAAAACATTTCGACTCCAACGCGACTCGCTCGCTCATTGTTACGCAACTTTTTGCATGGCCTGGGCTTAATTAAATTAATTTCACGATTGCATTTGTAATTTTTCTGCCTGCCAGCCAGCCAGCCAGCCACGCCCACRCGCAGTCAACTATGCCGGCTTGTGCGTTGGCATTTTTGCGGTCGCCTGTTGAAATATGTGAATTCGCGTTGCCCTCTTCGAACTGAGCACGCACCCACCCCCGCCCCCGCCCGCAGCTTCGCTTTGTGCCAGGCTTCAAATTTGTATCGAAATGTTTTGTGGCTGCTGCAACTGTTGCTGCGGTTTCTCTGGCCTACCTAACGCTCCCCCGCCCCCGCCCGCTTCTCCCACTCCCACTCGTGCAAGCCCGGCGAACCGCACAATTTCCAAATTTCAATAATTATGCACAGTGCGTTTGCAGCTGACGTTCTGAATGCCATAGTCCTTGCTAGTCCTTGCTGCCATATATTTTGCGGCAGATATTTGCATTTAGTGCAACAACTGCAACGGCACCGCAGCTGCAGCTGAAACAGCCACTGCAGCCACTGCAACTGCAACTGCAGCTGCAGCAGCCGCTAAACTGATTGTGCAAATTGCTTGCGCGATAAATTCATGTTTGCCAATTTTAATTAATTAATCGCTTTGTGCGGTTTTCAACGCCCAGCCGAAATGGCCGCCCCATTGCCCATGCACACACACACACACACATGCACACACACAAACATGCACTCGTGCACCTTTATATAGCGCTTACAGAGCATTCAACTAATGTCACAGCAATGCGATTTCACATTAGACAATTAGAGACTTTTACATCAATGATTGATTCCATACATCCAATTAGAAAGAGATAGAGAAATAGCAGGAAAGAGATACAGTGATATGAATATGATACAACAAAGAAAGAGCAAAAGAGAGAGGCGGGAACATATATGAGATGGAGATGAAAAGAATGAGAAATCAATGTATGAGCATATATAGAGAGAAATAGAGAAAAAGAGAGAGAAATATGAGACAGTTGCAGGGAATGACACATATGTATATATGAAATTATAGGAAGAAGAGTGAGAGATATTACCATCTACATATGTATAGCAAAAGAAAAGATGAATAGATAGTGGAAAAGAGAGAGAGAGAGAGAGAGAGAGAGAAACTGAAAATAATATACATCTATTCATATCTATATATAGAGACAGTGAAAAAAACAGAAGCACATGAAGAGACATGTCTTGAGTGTGACGTAGTGAGAGAGAGAGAGAGAGAGAGAGAGAGAGAGAGAGACAGACAGACAGAGAGAAAACGCAGATCGATAGCAAGAGAGAAAAGAAGTCAAAATATTATTATATATAAAGGCATAGAAAAATAGATTAACTGATTGATTTAGTCTCTCTGTGTCTCTCTCTCTCTCTCTCTCTCTCTCTCTCTCTCTCTCTGTCCTCAGACTGCCTGAGCCTCACAAGATAAGATTGACGACGTGACTGATGTAACAAATGATTGCTCGACCAACTGAGCAGTTGACTGAAGGACTGATTGACTAACTAATGGGCACATAGGAGACAATTATAGAAGAGAATTCCCATTAGACTTAGATAAATGTAAGGCGACAATTTTTGTTTTAAGTAGATAAGCAGTTCTTCCTCTACTCCCATTATTTTCCATTATGATTCATTTACATTGAATGTTAACATAATCAACGTTCCCATGTTAGCTGTTCACTGTTAGCTGTGAGCGCAACGATTGCTACTGGCAGAAATGCAGATTCTGTAGACTCGGCAAACATTTGGCCAGCCAAGTGTCTCAGGCTCACGCAGATTTACAGTTGCAGTGGCAATTGCATGCGGCGGTGCAGTGCAGTAGCTGCAGCAGTTTGCAGTTTGCAGTTTGCAGTTTGCAATTTGCTTTGCTTTTCGCATTTGTGTGCCACAACAGTAAAAAGTTTTTGGACTGCGAGAGACCCGAAGCTGGACCAAAGCGAGTGAGATTTCAAGAATTGGCGCGATTTTAACAGAGCTGCGGGCCGAGCAACGTCAAACTCAAATTCAAACTCGAACTCTGCGCTGAAGGAAGCTGCACACATGAATGCTAAAAGTCGCACTTCTGCTTCTTCTTCCCCTTCAGTTTTGCTTAGTCGAAAGCCATTTCCGAGCCGAAGTTGCGGCCGCAGTCGAGCGTAAACTGTTTGGCCAGAGATCGCACCTAAACAACGCGCCTTAAATTTACTAAGCACGACTGGCTCAAAGAGCTGCACAGCCGGGAGCTACGGCCAGAGCTCGACTCCGGCTCCGGCTCCAGCTCTGAATCAGCTACCAAATTCTTCCACTTTGGCCCTGTTACAGTTGCATTTGACAGTTGGCCAACGGCATTTTAACTGTAAAAGTTGCTGCTGCAATGGTCAACAAGAGCCCCGCAGCACGGCAGCTGCGTTGCCCGTCCGGCTGGGCTGGCAAAGAGAGTATATTGGCTTGAAATACGTTCGAGCGGCTCTCAGTGTGCGATTGTATTGCAGTGTGGGATGATTTTGTACTCATTAATATAATGAATATAGAGAGCATATTGGTTTCTGCTTGAAATATGTAGACCGTATTGCTGAATGAATATATAAAGTATATTGGTGTTGGTGTGCGTGTATGATTGCTCTTTTTATTCATTCTTATGCTTATACTCGCTCAGTGGATAATGAGAGTAATTAGCTTCTCTTTGATCTATGCTCTCGACTTGCTGTCACTCAGTCAAGAGTCTCTTCTTATCATTATACTCATCCACGCATTGGAACGTAATAAGAAGAGTATATCAGTTTATCTGTATATGTGTCTATGTCAGTAAATATAAATGATCGATCGTTCGTCTGTTGTTATGCTTGTGTGTGTGGGAGTTTGCTTCGATTCTCTTTTGCTTACTCTATTGCTCGCCTACATTGAGAGCTCTGGAGCCAAAGAGAGAATATTGATTATCTCGTAATATCCTCGCCTGCCTAGAAATTTTACAACAACAATATATACTGTTGTATATAATAAACATATGTAGCGAGTCTCTTCTTCTTTTTGAGCGAGTATGGCGCAGTCATATCTGCCCCTCCCCTATGTTCTGCCTTTACTTTGCTGCCTCTTTTTTCAATATTTTTATTCAATATTTGACAAATATACAATGTTGCAAGCTGCAGACGGACAAAGCTGTCTCTATATGAGTGCGTGTGTGTGTGCGTGTGAGTGTGTGTTTGTTGCGTGTGTTGGCTTGTGTGCTATCTGCGTCATGTCGTGAGCATATCGGGCGCGTCAAAAAATCGCTAATGAACAGTAGCTGCGCTGGGTGTATGTGTAAAAATTAGCACTTTGCTGGCAACGCTTTAAAAGCGACTGAGCAGCAACAAGACTCACAACAACAACAGCAACAGCTACGACTGGCTTTAGTCTAAGTCTATCAGAGACGACAACAACAACGAAAAAGAAACATCAAAACAACAACAAAAAGTTTCCCGCTCTTTATGCCCTGTACTGGGAGTTTACAGGGTATGCGGCACTTTGAGCAAATGCTTGTGAGAGACGTAAAGAAACAAGTTTGAGTTGTTCTTACTAGATAAGTTCTGTAGGTAAAGCATTCAGATAGATATTCAGATATTCCAGTCTACTCTCCGGCCACTTGTAGCTGAAGGAAAATATTTACATAGGCTATAATCTATATAAAGCAAGAATTCGATAGGCCTAACTACAAAGTATCGAGCTCAATAAATACTCGATTCACACTTGAATGCATAGAAAATTGTGGAAAGTTGCAGCCAGCTCGGATTCAGCTCAGGCTTAACTTTCGCCTCGTAAACTGGGCAAACTCAAGGACTGTAAAAGCTATAGCTCTTGTTAGGGTATTCATGCATATATACCAATACAGATTACAGAGTATAGTTTGCATGGACTATATCAATATCTCAATCTCATTGATTGTCTTCAACTCACTTTGAGCTGAAATAGCCTAAAATCAATCAGAAAATATTTGTAAATGTCGACTCACAGTGCAAAAGGAATATCAAAGCACAGGATATATGAAAAGAAGAGATACAAATTCGAATCGAGTCAGATTAGACTCGATATGTTCTACTCTTGCTTAGACCATGGCATTGACACTGTCGAACCATATCCCAAAATTTAAACCCATCTGGCAACCCTACATGGGTATATATGCTATACATGTATATATACTATATACTATATATGTATGTATGCACATTTTAAGCATTCCCAGGGTATCTGCTAGTCACTCACTTTATGCCAAAAACACCTGTGTTTCACGTGGCGCTGCACTCGTTCCTCGTTTTATGAGCTGTGAGACTGTCGGAGCACTTTTAGCTACTCAGCAGCAGCTACTAAATGACAGCTAGTTAGTCAACAGCCTCCAGCTTCCAGCTTCCAGTTTTCTGCGCTTTGGCCAATGCCTCTTTCCAATGGCATTTCCAGCTTGTGAGGCACCGCCTATTCACCTGTTGCTGCTGCAGCAGCCAGCAGCCAGCAGCGGCTACTCAAATCGAACCTTGTGAAGTTGCCGAAATTTTAACAAGTCCATTTCGAAAACAATAAAAATCATTCAGATGCTGCGCGCGAACCGGCCAAAGATCAAAGTCGGCAAATAGAGTAAGCGACTTGAAAGGGTATCGCGTGAAGGGTGTAGAGTAGATATCGAAATTGTTCAGAAATCGCTTGCATTACTCTATAGACTAGTATTACTTTAAGTGTGGGAAGATATACCCTGTACTATATACTTTGCATTGGCTTCACAAAGTACAGTCGCCCACACAGAAGATATATATTTACTCTATATACTCACCCATTTATGGTAGATATTGATTATCGACTACTTATATGCCCTATAGACAGGAAAGAATACTTTATATGTTTTATAAATATTACTACCTTCGGCTCACATAGACATTTTAGATATTCTGTACACCCTGCATAGAGTATAGAGTGTTCACTTATGCTTCACATATGGCATCACGTTTCACTTGCAAGAGAAAGTGCATACAGATCTCTCCATCCAAGTAGATTATGTACTCTACATATATGTATACCCCACCATTAATATGAGATATTATGTATCATAAAGTTCCTCAGGCTTATGCACAGCATACGAGCTACCCTACATGCCCCACCTACACCTTATATACTCTACCTTATGAAAAATTGCAATAAGCTGCTAGATAGAGTATTTACTGCTACATACTACATACATAGGCTCTCAGACTCTACGCGATTTCCAATACTTTTCGCTTTCAGCAGAACTTGCACAAAACACCCACACAGTGCCCTTCACACACACACACATACACACATACACACACTCTCTGCATATACCCTATCCCTATGCATAATGATTATGAACGAAATATCCATGACAGCATCTCTTGTCAAAGAGTCGTGCCCAAAAAGGCAAAAGCCATAGACGAGAGTTCGCATCAACTGGCGATGAGTAAATGTTTAACTTGTAGCAGCAGCAGCAGCAGCAGCGCAAGAGTTGAACACACACACACACGTACAACTCTCTCACAGGCAGCGCCTCGCACATACATGTTAAAAAATTCCAGACGCTGAACTCAGCTTCAGCTTCAGCTTCAGTTACAGATCTCAACACAAGCATCGACTTCTTCTTCTTCTTCTCTTTTTTTGTATTTGTATTTGCCTATGATTTCGTGTTTTCTTTTATATATATATACCTTTATATATATTGTGATATTTCCCAAAAAATATAAGAGTAGACAGACAACGCGTTACGTAGCCAAAAAGGTAAAAATCGCTGTTCAAAGGGGTTAAGCGCACAGCCTCCGCTAGCCAATGTCTATGGGTATGTGTGTGTGTGTGTGTGTGCGTGTCTCGCACCTCTCTGAGCTGCCGCTGCTGCTGCTGTTTTTGGCATCGTTTTTTTTTCTCTCCTGCGTTTTGAATGACAGGTTGTTGAAAAATTGGATTCGATTCGAGCGGGCCAAAACAGTTCGCGCTCAGCTCTAAAACAAGTCGGAATCGAGCTCAACTCGCGCGGCGCGACGGCAAAATAAGTCACAGAAAAACGTGGGAACAAAACGTAAATTAAATCAAAATAATAAATAATAAATAACAAATAAATTGGAAAACATACAAAAATTGCGCACGCGGTGTCAAAAATTCGAACGGAAAAACAAACAGAAAATCGCGTCGGCATTTCGCCTCCGACAGTGAGCGCCAATTGTGAGTGTGCCTCCTCCGTTTTCACCCTTTGCATTTATAATTCGGGTGAATGCCTCAACAGTATTTAAATTTAATCGAATTCAATTTGTCATCTAAAACTCAGAAATTGATTTAAGCAAGGGAAAGGAACTTTCAGCTGATAATTTTCTGTAAATATTTATGAAATATTTCGTAAAGTTTGTTTTCTAAAAATCTAGAATTGATTGCTCGGAATGCGGCTTAATAGAGAAATAAACACATTTGACAGTTGACCACGTTGAAGTAAAATCAATTAAATATTAATTCTTGATATTCTCTAATATATGATAATGATAATAATTAAAATTACAAATTACAATTTATCATCTGTGAAATCAGTGAAAAGAGCTTAAGGAGTCCTTAGACTATGTGCCAGACAGACAGAATTATGAGATAATCATTTTTTAAGTCCCACAAAATCGACGAAGTTAAGATCATTTATGGGACACAAATAATAATAATGAATATGATCTATAAGGATATTCTAATTATATCTAACAAAATATATAATTATATATGTATGATTGTAACAATGCGTTTTCTTAGCTTCTGAAGAGATTTATCGTATTCGATACGCTAGAGATTCATAGAAGTGTTTATAGCTCTCCTTATTGATCCTCTGTAGATATTCCAGCTCTTAACCAAGAAATAAATCAATTTGTATATGCAAATATTATTATTTAACAACAGCTTTTAAAAAGTTTCTCCCTGAAGTTCCCTCTCTCTCTCTCTCTCTGTATATTTTCTCCACTTTTGCCGTCACTCTCCCTATCGGCTCTCTCACTCAATGTCTATATCACATACAATAACTACCTTTACCTTTCAACTGAATGTCTATCTCTCTCTCTCGGACTCTTTCTCCCACTATCTTTTTCTTTATATAACATTTGCTAACTTTAAACTAATCTCCCTCTCTCTCTCTCCGATCTTTCCCTTCTCACTCACTCGATAGGCCCCAAGGATTGTGATCTACCCAAGGCAGCAATCACAGCTCTGCACGCGGGCGTCAACAGCTTCGGCCAACTGCCCGTGCCACCAAACATCGCTGATTTAGGTGGCGGTGGTGCTGGACCTGGCGGTGGAGGTGGACCAGGTGGCGGAGGAGGAGGAGCAGCAAGTTTGGGCGGCGTTGCGCGGCTGCATGTGACAGGCGGACTGTGCGATAATAGCAATGCCCTAAATGGTGCAAGCAACCACAACAACAACAACAACAACAACAATAACAATAGCAACAACAACAACAATAGCAACAACAACAATATGCAACAACAGGATCAGGTGAGCAAGCGCTGAGCGAGAGCGAGAGAGAGAGCGTGTGCGAGGGGGAGGGGGAGGCAGTGTTGCTCTCTCTCTCTTTCTCTCCCTTACTCTGTTTACCGCTCCACTATTCTCCCCCTGCCAGCCTCTCTCTCACTCTCACTACAAGCTACAGAATTTTTTAATAATCCATGTTCTTTTCGATGTTTTTTTCCTCAAATAAAAAAAAAAAAAAACTGCTAAATAAAATCCAATTCGAAAACCAATCAAAAAATCGTTAAAAAATCTATGCGAATGTGTAAATTCTGTGTGTAAAAAATAAAATAAAACATAAAATATATATCTTATGTGCAATGATAAATAATAAAAAAAAGTAAGTGTGATTTTATTTCTCTATTTAAAGAAAACAGTTTATTTATTTATTTTGTATCGTTTAATTTGTAGTTGAAATAATTTAGTGCCTGTTATTATTCAATTGAACTTAACTCATGTTGTTGTTCTTGTTGTTGTTGTAAATTTGCACAGATTTGTTTTTCACAATACTAAAGCCACGCCCCGTGCGCCCCTCTCTGGCCATCTGCTTGTCTCTTTGCAGCACCTGGATAAAAACAAACAGAAGCGACATCGCACACGTTTCACACCTGCTCAATTAAATGAGCTGGAGCGCTGCTTCTCCAAGACCCACTATCCGGACATCTTCATGCGCGAGGAGATTGCCATGCGTATTGGCCTAACCGAGTCGCGTGTCCAGGTGAGTCGCCCCCCAGTTATCAGTCACTGCTCACCTTTTGTTCTTGTTACCCGTAAGCCTCTCTAACTGCTGGCAAAGTTTTTGCGGCTTTGTTGCGGCATTGGCCTGTCACATTTGACTCGCAGTTAGCCCCATCGACAGGCAGCTCTGTCTGTCCGCCTGTCCCTCTGACACGCGAACGTTTAGCGTGACAGGACATTTTGCACGCGCGCAACCGCAGACAAAATCCATATCAAATCGCGAATTCAACTCTAAATACTTCAAAAGTTTTCAGAGATTTAGAGAGAGAGAGAGAGGTGGAATCAAAATTTAACTACTAGTTAAAAGTGCAGTTTAGATTTAAAGAAATATTCGATGTAGTTACTTCAAATAATACCTAAAGAATTTCCTGATTAAAGTCAAAACTTCTTTCAATTGGAAAGTCTATTGAAATATATTTTAGTTACTTAACTTTTAGTCAACATTCAATTCAACTATACCATATGTATCAAATTTAGCATTTGCTCCACTTCAATCAGTTTCCATGCGCTCTTCATAACTGTATTGTAAATTTCTAAAATATTTACGAACCGTTTTCGCTTATATAGTATTACTAATTAGCTCATAAACATTTTGTTTATTTATTCAACAAACAATTAGCAGGCAAATATATATGAAATGGATCTTAAAATTGTGCAGTCAATATATATTTGAAGGGGCATCAAATTGTAGCACAGATTGAAGTAATAAATTTATAAATATATAAGTAGCTAAATAGAGCAAAAGTTTATAGATATCAGAAAGAAATTTTAGCATATTTCCTGAATAATTTACATTAGAAACAGAGAACTGATGAACCTAGTTACAATCAGACTTAATTTTTGCCTACCTTTAATAGGGTTATAAAGAGAGTTTAATCGATTGTCAAATATGCGTAGAAAAATTCCTCTTTGAATTTTCAATATTCTCTTTAAAGTTGTTTATACTGTTGAATAGGATATCTTGCGTCTCATCTGATATTCCCTATTCCCTTTTGTTTATGTTTTCCCTCTTCATTTTTATATGGAATTTTTTTTTTTATTATTTTCTGCTCTCGCTTTAATTCACAATTTTCACTCATTTTTATGAGCATTTTGGCTGCACTCGGCGCCATTTAAGCGCACGAAAATTATATTTTATTAAAGCACATAAAGTCACATTTAGACGGCGCTGTGCTCCCATCTGCCCAGTTGTCCCTCTCCCTCTCCCCACTCGCTCTCCACTCCTCTTCTCGCTTCTCCTCTCCTTGTGCGACTTATGACTGCCGCAGCTAGCACAAAAACTTTACCCACACACAAGCACAGAGTGTGTGAGAGAGAGACAGGGCGAGAGCATTATCCTTTTGCGGCTGGCAGCCGCTCCCTTCAGGCAGGCGCTGTTGGCATTATCCTGGCTGGGCGGCATGTCCTTTGGCATTGCGGGCGGCGGGCTTTTGTTTGTTTATGCGACAATCGAATTTACTGCTTCATTAAATTTGTGTTTAAGCTTCCGCTTCCTGCAGTGAGACTACTGTGTCTCTCCCTCTCCTTCCCACCCGTACACTCTCACGCTACGCTGGCTTGCTGTCTTGCTCTCTTGCTCTTTGTGTGAAACTATGCATTGAATTGTTTTGCGGTTTCAATGAATGCCAAAAACTTTGCTCAGCCTTTGAATTCTAATGGCTGCCCCCACACACTCTCTGTTGCACTCGCTCTCATTGCTGCGCTCTTAGCTAAACAATTAGCTGTTGCTGGCCTCGTCTCCTTTTTCACCTAACGGATGTTTTGCTTTCAATGTCTTTGTATGGCCGCCTTCGCCTCTAGTCTCGCTCTCTTCCATTTGTGCTGTCGCCTTGAGCCTATTTTTAGCTCTTTGCCTGCGAATAACGGATGTTTTGCTTTCAATGAGTGCCAAGCAGTGTGGTTTGACTCCTGTAGGCTGTCTCTCTCTATCTCTCTCTGTCTCTCTCACATGAGTGTGGGCCAAAAAGTTAACTATGACTTCTTATGATTCCGTCCCCCTTTCTCTCTCTTTCACTCGCTCTCTCTTGTGTCCGCTTTGGCTTAACAATTAGCTGCTGACCAAGCAGACACACACACACACCCTCATCATTCTTTCTTCTTTTTTCTGTGCCTCTTTTCGCGCGCGCCTAACGGATGTTCTACTTTGATAAATTGTTTTTAATAATTGCGTATCAGTGTCTGGCTGTTAATGTATCCTGTCTGCTGCCTCAAAGGGGGGGTCGCAAGAATAATGCCGGGTTGCTGCTGTTCTCTTTGTTGTTGTTGTTGTTGYTGCTGTTGCTATTAACACGCTATAATGTTTGATTTTTCGTTTGTCGTTTGGCTTTTGCGGCTTATGGTATGTCAGCCCTTTGGATTAGCAGGGACTTATTGTAGCTGCCTCACGACTCAGCCTCTGCCTCTGCCTCTGCTTTCCTCTACCCCACTCTCTCTCTCTCGCTCTYTTTCTCTTTTGCCCCCTGTTAATAAAATTAGCATATAAATTAAGTTTGCATGCTGGTTTTTATACCACTGTACGACACACACACACGCACACTCCCACGCACATGCATTACATATTTTCTATATATACTATTTGAAAATCTTGAAAAAGGCGTGGCACGCCTACAATTTGAGCGCTTACATTTGATATTCACACACACGTCTGGCCCTAAATCAATCTGCAAGGATTTGCAGCTAATGACGGCATAAAGACAGCCCCAACTGCCACTTGCTAAAAGGATGCCCCAAAACACAAAAAAAAAGGATGTGGGAGTCTTAACACGTAAAGCAAGTCAAGCCAAAGCCGAGAGTGTATGTGTGAGTGTGTCGGCTGTGTGTGCGTTTGTGCGTGTTGGCTGCATAAGTTATGAAGCTCACGTAGCTAGACGTGGCTGGATATAGGCAACAGGATATGCGATATAGTTGGCATATGAGCTGCTTAATTATGCAGCAAATATATACTACGCATATATA